TGACTTGCTTTTCCGCTGCTGGGGATCGAACCCAGGGTCTTGAACATGCCGGCGAGCATTCTACACTGGCTTCAGCTTCTCTGGATTTTTGAGTGTTTGTGTTGGGGAGGAGGGGTTTATTCAGTGTCTGGCAATTTTCCAGGACTGACCTCATTCTCAAACTGTCTTCCCTTCAGGAGGCAGCAGGTTCCTGCTGGTCCCTCCAACCCTGCGTGCCCATCAGGAGCTGTGTTGCCAATACATGGTACTTGAAGATCCACAGAAGTTGAACTGGGGTTTTAATTTTACCAAAGTATCTTTCTTCTGCTTTTCTACTGGTCTTCTGGAAACTCTGAACCAAAGCTCTTCCTGCACTAAGATCTAACATCATTGCATCTAACCAATAAGCTGAACCTCCTCAGAAAAAACCTGGGTCTGGGGGTTTCTGAGCAAGGAGAACTCCCATCTATAAATAGGCTGTTGTCTAAGCATTTGTAAGATACGGTCCAAGAGAGGTTTCAAGGTGAAAGTATGTTCTCTTCAGTAAACATTTATCAAAATCTAAGATATGCTGCTGTGAGCCAGGAGTTTCCTATTGTACCAGATTTTGAGTCTTGAGGATCTATCACCCTTACTTGCTTTGTGACTCTGAGCAGGTTCCTTTTTCTCTCAGAGCCTCACTTCCTCAATCTATCAAATGGGGACATTAGTCTACAAACATATGGGGCTTCTTGCCATATTCACCTGATATATTTTCCAACTAGAAATCACAGGGTGATAATAGCGGAGGCCAAGTCTGGGCCAGTCCCTGGACCAGCCCTTAGCGTTTCTTTATTTCTTTGTATCTTTACGTCCTTAAGAATTTGATGCCATAATCTTGTTACTGTTTTTTTTTCTTTGTTTAAGATCTTTTATTGCTATATAGATTGTCTCTTTTTTAGTGCTGAGGCTCAGCCTCGCACATGTTAGACAAAGTGCTCTACTATTAAGCTACATTCTCAGCCCCTGGTTCAATTTCTTTTAAGATTAGTTCTAGGTTCATGGCAAACTTAAGAGAAAGGTACATAGATTTCCCCCTCAGCCCATCCATGTGCATAGCTCTCTTATTGTCAGTGTCCCTCCCCAGATTGCTGCACTTGTTGCAACTAGTTGACCAACTCTCGTACATCCCAGTCACCTAGAGTCCATCTGTTAGGGTTGGCTGTTGCCTATTGTACATTCACTATCTATTTGAATAAATGTATGATGTCATGACTTCAGCATTATAATATAATGTGGAGTATTTCCACCATCCCCCAAATCTCCTGGGCCTGCTTATCCTATGATGGTTAATTTCTACTGTCAACTTGACTAGATTTGGAATGACCTGAACTGGGTGTGTGCAGGTATTTCCAGAGAGGTACAACTGAGGGTGGGAGAGGGCGCAGGGAGGGTGACTGCATGTGGGCAGCACTCTCCCATGGGCTGGGGTCCCAGTCTGAATAAAAAGGGAAAGGAGGGAGAGGGACCAGAGCATCAGCACCGGTTCTTCTCTGCTTCTTGGTCTGTTCAAATGTGAGCAGTTCCGCCACACGCTTCCACGGCTGTGAATCCTGCCAGACCTTCCCTACCATAAGACACCATCCTCTTGAACAGCTAGCAGAAATATACTTTTCTTCCCTTAAGTTGCTTTTGTCAGGTATTTTGTCACAGCAATGAGAAAAATAGCTAACGTAGCATTCCTCCCTTCTTCCAACTCTTAGAAACAATTGATTTTTTCACCACCATAGTTTTTGCCTTTTCTAGAATGCCGTTTATTAGCAGTTGGGATTGCACTGTATGCAGCCTTTTCAGGTTGGCTTATTCCACTTCGACATATACATTTAAGTTCCCTCTAGGTCTTCTCAAGGGCTGAGAGTTAATTTCTTTTTATTATGAATAATGCATTGTCTTTATACACCAGTGTATTTGTCCACTCTGAATTCTGACGATTACATCCATGTAAACAGCCATGTGGCCAGTGTTGTATGGCCATGTTTTCAACTCCTTTGGATAAATAGCAAGGAGAGCAATTGTTGAATTTCTTGGTCAGCTCTGGGTAAAAAAATATTGTCACAAACTGTCTTCCAAAGAGGCTGTGCCCTTCTAGCAGTAACTGAAAGCCCTTGTCTCATACTCTCATCCAATTGGCGTGTCAGTGTTCTGGGCATGTAGTGGCATGTCACTGTTATTTTAATTTGAATTTCCCTGATTGACATCTAAGATGGACCCTTTTTTCACATAATTATTTGCTATCTGTACATCTTCAGTGGAATCTTCATTAATGTATGTCCTTACTTTTTAACTGAGTTGTTTGTTTTCAATCCCAGGATCCCACATAAATGTAGAAGGAGAGAACTCGTGACACATTCATACATCATATCACGCACACATATATACACACACAAATAAAAATATGAAAAAAAAACATTATGCAATATATACAAAGAACTCCTAAAATTCAAATATAAGAAAACAAACAACTCAATCCTGGGAATGAACTCAAGTAGTCAGGCTTGTGTGACAAGGGCTTTACCCACTGAGCCATCCTTCTAGACCTGGATAATGACTCTTTATCAGATGTGTCTTTTGCATTTTTTTTCCAGTTGTGGAATGTATTTTCATTCTCTTAAGTTTGTGTTTCACTGAGTGGAAGCTTTTAATTTTAATGAAGTCCAGCTTATCAGCTAGTTCTTTGGTGGTACTGATTCTAGTTCTCCTGTGCTGTTGTCAAGGAGGGTTAGAGTTTTTCATTTCACATTTAGATCTAGCATTAGTTACTTTTATCATAAGCAGAGTACTTGACAGAAACAAGGAAAACTTTTGAGGAGAGGTTTTCTTTGAACCCACAAATTCATGGCAGGGAAGACGTGATGGAGTTCATGGTGGTCAGAGCTGTACCTGTCTGTGATAGTGGGAGGACAAGGTGTGACTTGTTACATTTCTACCACTCAAGGAGCAGAGAACCAGTCAGGAAGCAGAGCCAGCCCATAACCCTCAAAGCCCACCCCCATAGCTCTACATCCTTACACTAGACCCCATATCCCAAAGATTCCATAACCTTCCCAAACAGCACCACCATCTGGACACCAAGTCTTCAAGTGCAAGAGCCTGTGGGAAATACTTCACATGAAAATCTTAAGAGGTCTACAGTCCATTCTGAGTTAATTTTTTATGAAGCATGTCTAGATTCATTTGGGATAAATGTTTAGATTTTTTTGCATATGGATGTATATTATTCCAAAACAGTTGTTGAAAAGTTGATCTTTACTCCATTGCATTGCCTTTGGTCCTTTGTTAAAGATCAGTTGACTATGTGGGTGTATTTGTTACTTTTTTATTGACAAAATACATGGCAAAAGTGACAAGGAAGGAAGAGTTTATATTGGCTCTTGCCTTGAGGGCAGAGTTCCTCATGGCAGTGAAGTCATGTTCACATTGCACCCACAGTCAGGAAGCAGAGAGACAGGAATCCTGGTGCTCCATCAGTTTTGTCCCCCATACTAAGTCCAGGATTCCAGGCCATGGGATAGTACCACCCACATGTGGGTCTCCCTCCTCCTCTCTGGAAAGATCCTCAAAGCACACCCTGAGGTATGTTTCCTAGATAATTCTAATCCAGTGAAGTTGACAATGAAGATTACTCATCATAGTGGGTCTACTTCTATACTCTCCACTGTTTCGTTAATTTATTTGTCTGTTCTTTTGCCAATACCAGGCTGCCATGATTACTGTTCCTCTACAGGAAACCTTGAAGTCAGTAGTGTTAGGCCTTTGGCTTTGTTTTTCTTTAATGCTGAACTGGCTATTCTGGGTCTTTTGCCTCTCCATATCAACTTTAGAATCAGTTTATTAATATCTAAGTATAACTTGCTGGGATTTTTATTTTTTGAGCCATCTCTGCAGTCCCTTCACTTGATTGTATTGAATCTATATATCAACATTGGCTCTTCCTCTCTGAGTACAGAAAGTGCTCTCCTTGAGCTCGTCTTTGATCTCTTTCATCTGACTTTTATAGTTTTTTTTTCATGCAGCTCTTGTACATATTTAATTATATTTATATATAATTTTTGTCTTTGAGAGTTTTAATATAAATGGTGTCATTGCTGGTATGTAGGAAAGCAATTGTCTTTTATATATTAACCTCATATCCTGAATTGCTGTAATTTCTTTTTAATTTCAGGAGTTTGCTTCAGTGTTTTATTTCTCAAATACTTTTGATTTTCTGTATAGACAATCATGTTATCTGTGAACAAAGAGAGTTTTATTCATTCTTCCTAATTTAAAAATCCTTTATTTCTAAATATCCTTTATTTCCTTTTCCTACATTATTGCATTAGATAGGCCTTCCAGTACAATGTTGAAAAGAATTATAAATAGAGGACAGCCTAGCCTTGATCCTGCTCTAAATGGGAAAGCTTTGACTTTCTTATAATTAAACATGATATTAGCTATAGATTTTATTTTGTCAAAAATTTTTAGCAAGTTAAAATTTTCCTCTATTTGCTGAGTTTTTATTTCAAATAACGTTAGATTTTTGTCAAATGCATCTATTTTCATAATTGGGTTTTGCCTGTTAATGTGTTGCACTACATTAAATGATTTTCAAATATTAAACCAACCATGTACACCTGGGATAAATACTTTAGACACTGTTGAATTAACTATGCTAATGTTATATTGAAGATTTACTTGTTTATTTGAGACAGGGTCTTCCTGTAGCCCTAGATGGCCTGGAACTCGCTCTGTTGAACAGGCTGGCCTCGATCTTATAGAGATCTGCCTGCCTTTGTCTCCCAAATGCTGGGATTAAAGGTGTGTGCCATCACACCCAGCTCTATTAAGGATTTTGTCATCTATGTTCATGACAGATATTGGTCTGTAGTTTCCTCCTAATGTTTCTATTTCTATCTGGTTTGAATTTTTGTATTAGGGTACACTTGGCTTTGTAGAATTAGGAAGTGTTCTGTTTCTCTCCTCCAAAAGAGATTATAGAGAATTGGTATGATTTCTCTCTATTCACAAATTTGTGTGTCATCCTTGTGCAGGGCCCTTGCTAATCTTCTCTGTATCATTCTAATTTTAGCATATATGTTACCAAAGCGAACACTGGTATAATCTATCTATCTTTCATCTATCTATCTATCTATCTATCTATCTATCTATCTATCTATCATCTATCATCTATCTATCATCAATCATCTATCTTTCTTTCTTTCTCCTTCCTTTCTCTCTCTCTCTCTCTCTCTCTCTCTCTCTTTCTCTCTTTCTTTTTTTTTTCTGTACCCCCAGCTGACCTGGAATTCCTTATATAGACCAGGCTGGCCTTGAACTCACAGAGATCCGCCTACCTCTGCCCCCCAAGTGCTGGGATTAAAGGTGTGTACCACCACGCCTGGCTATAATTTCTTTATTAAATGTTGGGCAGAATTCTTTAATAAACTCACCTGGGTCTGATGCTTTTTATGCTGGATGGTTATTAATTATTGATAATCATTGTTAATTCTTTTAATAGACTTAGAATTTTTCCTAATTATCTATTTATTTTTGTTTGCGTTTTAGCAAACTGTACCTTCTAAGAAATGGTGCATTCGTATGCTTCATCTATGTTGTCAGATTTGAGACATAGTGTTCCTTTATTCTCCTTTCAATGTATGTAGGGTCTATAGTGATGCTCATTCCTTCATTTCTGACATGAATAATTTGTGTCTTCTATTTTTCTTAACCTGGTTAAATATCTACTCATTTTATTAATCTTTTCAAAGAACCAGCATTTGGCATCGTTGATTTTTTTCTCTAGTTCCCATTTTCAGTTCCATTAGTTTCTACTCTGATTCCTGCTAGTTATTTTCTTCTGCTTTCTTTGGATTTAATTTGCTCTTCCCCCTTCCCCCTAATTTTCTAAGATTGAAACTTAGATTTATTTTCAGAGCTTTCTTCTTATCTAATGTATGTACTCAATATTGTGAATTTCCCCTAAGCACTACTCTTATTTTATCCACAAAATATATTTTCATATGGGTCAAAATATTTACAGTTTTTTCTTGATATTAATTTTTGCCCTTTATGCTGCTTAGAAATGCACTATTTCTCTGTGGTTTTGGTGGTTCCCAGTTATTTATTCCTAGTTTAATTCTATTGTGCCCTAAGAGCAGAAATGCTATGATTTCTAGTCTCTTAAACTCATTAACTTGTGACTCAGAATGTAGTTTCTTTTGATGAATGTTTCTTGTGCGTTTGAAAAGAATGTGTGCTTTACTGTTGTTGGATGAGGTAGTCGGTTTCAGTTATAGCCAGTCCACTCACAGTATTCTTACTGATTTTCTGCTAACTGGATCTTTCTGTTTCTGATAAACAGGTGTTGCAGGCTCCAACTGTCACAATGGACCTGTCGGTTCCCTTCAGTTTCTATTAATTTTTTTCCATTTTAATGTGCGACATGGATGTGTGCATTGAATGTGGATATGTGTATGCATGTTTGCATGAGTGTACATGTATATGTGGAGGCCAGAAGTTGATGCTGGGAATAATCCTTCACTGTTCCACCTTATTCGTTAAGGCAGGGTCTCTTAGCAAACACAGAGCTGCTGGCTATGGGTAGACTTTCTAGCCATCTTGGTCTGGGAGTCCCTGTCTTTACCTTCTGAGACTGGAATTACAGGTGGACTGCCATGCCCATACAGTATTTACATGGATTCTGGTGATCTGAACTCTGGTCCTCATGCTTTCTCAGCAAACGCTCTAACCATTGAGCCGTCTCCCCAGGCCGCCGTCCCCCCCCCAGTTTTATTAAATTTTATCTCACATAGCTTGATGTTCTGTTTTTAAGAACAAACGCGTTAAAAATGGTCACAACTTCTTAGAGAACTGATCCTTTTGTCCCTGTATAATACACTCTTTTATCCCCTTTTCCTTGACGTGAAGTCTGTGTTGTCTGAAGTTAATGTAACTACTCACACTTCTGATTAGTGCTAGCATGGCGTTGCTTCTCCATCCATTTACTTTTCATCTATATGCATCTTTATATTTAAAGCTTTTTAAAAATATTTTATTTATTATTTTTACTTTATGTGTATGAGTGTTATGCCTGCATGTAGGTAAGTGCACCCCTGTCATGCAATGCCCGCAGAGGAGAGAAGAGGCTGTTGGATCCCCTGGAACTGGAGTTATGGACAGTTGTTAGCTGCCATGTAGGTGCTGGGATTTGAACCTAGATCTTCTGCAAGAACAGTGTTCTTAACCTCTGAGCCGTCTCTCCAGCGCCATAAAGCTTTTTTTTTTTTTTTTAAATAGACAACCCATAGTTGAATCTTATTTATTTATTCCAACAATCAATCAACTGTGCCCCTTGCTCTCTCTTTCTCAGAGAGGGTCTTGCTAGGCTCTTTCTGTGTAGCCTAGGCTCTCTATGTAGCACAGGTTGGCCTTGAATCCTGATCCATATGCCTAGCTTTCTGAGGTTCAGAGTATGTTCCAGCTTCAGCAATTTGTCTCTTAACTGATGCATTTGCCCATTGATGCTCACAGTGGTTACTGACACAATCAGAATAATATTACCATCTCTGTTAGCTTTCCATTCATTTCCCTTATTCTTTATTCTATTTTTGTATTTCATTGGGTTTTTTTTCCGGCATTTATGGTTTGATTTACTTATTTACTATTTGTTTATTTACTTATTTAGAGACAGTGTCTTGCTATGTAACCCAGGCTAGCCTCAGGCTCGCACTTGTCCTTACTCAGCCTCCTGAGTGCTAAGATTATAGGTGTGTACCACCATGCATCTTTTTCTGTTTTCTTTTTTGGCATTTTTAAAATTCGTTACATTTTTGTGTCTGTGTGTATATTGTGTGTGTGTGTGTGTGTGTGTGTGTGTGTGTGTGTGCACTACCTGTTCCTGTACATGTAGAGGACGGAGGTTGACGTCAAGTATCTTCTTTCCTCTCCAGCTTTCTTTTTGAGTTCACCATTTTGGCAAAACTAGCTGATCAGACTCCCTAGCTCTGCCCCCCAGCGGTGGGGTCACAGATGCATGCTGCTGCACCCTGCTTTTACTCAGGTGCTAGGAACCCCAGCTTAGGTCCTCACGCTTGCACAGCAGGCGCTTTATCGACCAAGCCATCTCCCAGCCTCTCTTTGTACGGCTCTGCTTTATCTTGTTAAGATGATTTTAGTGCTTACCTTGAAGTTTGCAGTATACATTGACAACTAATCAAGCCACTTTCAAATAACACAATAGCACTTCACAAGTGAGTGCCTGGTAACTACCCTACTTCCTCCCTTCCTCACTCTTGTATCATTGCTTTGCTGTCCTTAATTTCACTAATGTACAAGCTTACATAGGAATATATATTATAGATCAATAAATATATTAATAAAAGTATTAATTATGGGGTTTGGGATTTAGCTCAGTGGTAGAGTGCTTGCCTAGCAAGCGCAAGGCCCTGGGTTCAGTCCTCAGCTCCGAAGGAAAAAAAAGACAAAAAAATATTAATTATGTATTATATATATAAAATTCAGTGTATTGTTACCACTATCATTTTGAACAAAATGTCATCTGTCAAGGCAATTAAAACCAAGTTTTGCTTTTCCCTTCAGTTATTGGTTAGGAAGAGAAAGGATGAGGCACTACCAATTTTTATCCATGTAAGGGCATTTCTGATATGCACATGACAACTATGACATGGAGCCAGGACCCTGAAGCACTGCAGGGTATGAAGATGTTCCTTGATTTAAATCGTGTTACATCAAAACCTATCCATCATAAGTAGAAAATAGTGTAAGTTGAAAATGGGTTTAGAGTTTTGAACCTACCATCCATTGTAGCTGCTAGACTACCTTAAACATGCCTGGAACACTTCCCTTAGCCTATAGTTGGGAAAAATTAGCCCAAACAAAGCCTACTTTATAATAAAGTATTGACTATACAATGTAATCTATTGAATACCTCAACCCCACACTTACTGGTAACACAGTACACTGTGGAGTTCCAGTTGTTTGTCTCTGTGCAATTGTGTGGCTAAGTGGAGCTGCCTGGCATCACCAGAGATTATCATCCCACATTAACACAATCCAAAAATCAAGGTATGTCTTCTCCCAAACATCTATCACTTTTGCAGCTCCTTAAAGTCAAAACATTGTCAGATGAGCCATCATAAACAGGGGCCCATATGTGTACTCTCAGCTTATGAGCCAGTTAAAAGTGATACTGGTGGTTCAATATGATCACTTAAGACTCCAAGGATGACATGATTTATATGTTGAGTTTCTCAGGAAAAGGCAGATATACGGAAAGGCATTAGACAGTTTTGACAGTGTAATGTGAACATGTGAAGAGCCATTTAGTACCACAGACTTAGCTTCCCCAAAGGCTTGGTAATAACTCAGATTCCTCAGTTGTGCTTGTCTATAAACATACAACCAGAACAGGTTATAAGCCATCAATATTTACCAGTTATCTCCATGTATTGAGTTTAATCTACTAGGGCGACTTAGAGATCCGTTGGTATGGTTCCCTTACTTTCCAGATGAGGACATTAACACTCAGGGGGGAGGGATTGGTCTTCTCAAATTGATACCTTTAGTGGCAGGGCTCCCCCTACCCCATTCCTGCCCAGAGATGGCTGAGTTGGCAGGCTGGATAGTGGGAAGACATCAATAAGATATAAAGAAAGGAGAGAAAGGGAAGCCATGTGAAAATATTGTATGAATTTAGTTTATTTATAGCCTGCATTTTTCTAATGATGAATGGGCATCACTGATAGCTGGGCTGTAGGTGGCTCTTCCTTGAATATCTAGCTCCTTCCTTCTTGCTGGCCATCCTTGATCAGTGATGGGGAAAGTCAAGAATGTGTGGGAGAATCTGTGGTTCAGCTGCTACATATACCTGGATCACAGGTGGAGGTGAAACCTCTCCCTTAAAGTCCCTCTATTCTGTCTGCCTTTCAGCCTGCTCTGACCTAGGAGGGTACACTTGCATGCCCATGGAGGTATAGCAGATAAGGATGTCCTGGAGGCATATTTAGGCACTGTCAGCAATGACTTCTTTCCAACACTCAAAGAAAATAGTTACACAGATGTATGTCTTTTCACATTAAATTCCCATTATGTTTG